GAAAATATAATATATTAAAATTTTATTTTTTTAAATAGATTATTAATAATATTAGTATTTACGTATTGTTTTTTTTTAAATGCAATAAGATTTTCATGTATTTAAGGTTTAGTTTAAGTTCGAGTTTGAGGCTTTAACCGAGTTAAGTTTAAAGTTTTTTTCATTTCGAACCTTTTCGAGCTGGTCACGAGCTTCAGTTCTGGATTTCGAGTTCGAGTCGAGTTTGAAAATTTTAAGCTCGCGAGTTTTTGAATCGAGTCGAGCTCCATTTCAGAATTTTTGAGTCGAGTAGAGCTCAGGAATACTCAAAGTCGACTCGATTCGTTTATACTCCTACATTAGATATCAAACGTGGGACATGATGAGGAAAGAATTTGAAAGTTAAAAATTAGATGTTTTTTGGAAGCAGTGATTTTATTTTCATATTTCGGTTGACAGTATGATTCGAGAACTTCCAGTATCGGTTATGGCCTTGAAAAATCTTATCAGCTTTGAGTTGACCTGGAATGATGTGGCTTGACCAGATCAATGGTTGACTTTTTACATTTCATTATCTAAAGCAAAACTTCTTTGCGTTTCTTAAACCGTGAACTCTTTTTCTACTTTCTTTTTGTCTTTATCATAAAACCATCCTTTCCGATATGTTATTTAATCATTTTAGGATAATCTGTCACACTCAATAAGTACGAATAAATATTGTTAACGATGGATATCATTAAATTAATTTATAGAACGTTAAAAAGTATTAAACGTATAATTATAAATTAGTTATAAATTAAATATAATTTAATTAAAATATAATATTTATAAAACATTAGTTTTTATAATATTATTTTAATTATAATTAGATCAATTATTAATTTGAAAATTTTATAAACTTAATTTATTTTCATAGCTTTGAAGCTTCCGTCGTTGATGTCGCGTCGCCGTCGTCGGTATCATCTTTCACCATCGGCTAACGACAAAGACTAAATTGTCGGTGAAATATTATATCGACGACGGCGACAGGAGCTTCAAAACTATGAAAAAATTAGATTTCATAAAATTTTCAAATTAATATTTCATCTAATTATAATTAAAATAAGATTATAAAAACTAATGTTTTATAAATATTTTATTTTAATTAAATTACATTTAAATTTTTAAGTAATTTATAATTATACATTTAGTATTTTATAATTTATTGTTTTATAAATTACTTTAACGGTGCAATCCACGGTCGACAAGTAGAATTTTTTTTTATTTTGTTAATATATATATATATATATATATATATATATATAGTTAATTACATCATATATCCTCAAAGTATGATACTTATTTTAAATTGATCCCTAAACTTTTAAATATTCCAATTTTATCCGTAAATTATGACTATCATTCTAAATCAGACCTCAAACTTTTTATCATTTCAATTTCATCCTTAAACTATGTCCCTCTTTCTAAATTAGTCCCTAAACTTTTTGAACATTCCGATTTCATACCAAACCATACATATATACCAATCACGTCACTTGTTAATAAAATTGGTAGGCCAAGTTATATTATTATATGGTTGAAACTAATTACATATTTGGATGAATTTGGGATGAATTGGACTGTTCAAAAAGTTTGGGGACTCATTTAGAGAGAGGGCCATATTTCAGGGATGAAATTGAAATAATCAAAATTTTAAGAACTAATTAGAATGAGAGTTATAGTTTGAGGATGAGATTGTAATATTTAAAATTTTAAAGACCAATTTGAAATGAGGGCTATAGTTTAGGGACATATAATACAATTAACTCATTATATAATATTTTAACCTTTTTTTAAACAATTTTTACCTAAAAAGGAAAGAATATAAATTTTATTCTTAATGGGTAATGAGGGAATTTGATACCTTAACATTTTACTTCTTTCTTATTCATTTTTCTTTAATTTAAAGACGTGATATATATGCCTAAGATCACATAATGTTATCAAAGATTAATATATAATAAAAAATCTAACAATATAAATGATATAAATAAAAGAAAATTATGAAAAATATTTTTTTATTTTTTTAAAAAAGTAAAAAGAATATATATAATTTTAGAAAATATCAAATGAAATTCATATTGTTTTTAAAAATATTAAAAATATATTTTTTAAAAAAGTAAAAAGTTTATATATATATATTTTAGAAGAATTGTAAAGTTTCGTATGTTTTAAGTTTATATAAATAAAGTGCACTTAGCGTAAAAAGGTTATATAAATAAATGGTCAAAATTTATTATAGCCTTTGAATTATACTTAACTTATAGATTTAATTTGTGTGCTTTAATTTAGTTTTTCTAATATTTTTTTGAATTTAAAAATTTGACCCTGAATTAAAACAGTAATAATTAAGCATGTTTATTCAAATTTTATTATTAGTCTCTATAGTATTAATAAGTTATATATTTAGTTTATATTATCTATTTGATTATTTTAGGTCTTTGTATTTTATTTCCACTGTCCTGTAGTATTTGGATCAAGACTAATATTTTAAAACTTGAAAGTATAATGACTAAATTTGACCAAATTAGAATATAGAATTAAATATGTAACTTATGAAATAGTATAGGGACTAATATCAGAATGCTACCATTTTTCAGAAGAGATTTACGTTTTAAAGATCAACATATGAAAAGGAAGAATTGTAAAAGTCTCCCGATATATAACTTCCGAGTTCATGGGGCCAATTTTCACACCAGCTCGCAAATAAATTATGTTCAAGTTACAGCTGCTAGACAACTGTGACCTCCTGATAAGGTGCCTTTCATACGCGGGACGATAATGTTATATTAAAATCTACAATTGTGGATATATTATTATAAAATATGATATAAAATTAAGTAATGAATTATGTGATTTGTGTTATAGGTATATTAAAATGCCATGGAATTAAAATATAGATAAGTTATATTTATAATTTGATGAGTGATAGAATTATAAATACTTAATAGATTGTCATAATATTCATTCTATATAAAGAGATAGTAGTTCCCGAGAAATAAGTTAACATATACTACTCTTTTCTTCATTAGAGAGTTTTTACGGTAAGAGAAAACTTTTATTCTTGGAGATCATAACCAAAGAAAGATTCAAGGATTTCAACCTATCAATTAATTCAGTTACGCTTCCGCATCTGGTATTGTATTCTTGAAGATTTGACATGATTTAGATCTTGAGTTTCAGTCTTATATCAATTAGGTTTTGGTATTGTATTCCTTGAGGTCCTCAGTTCGAACATCATGAATGTTAGGGATCTGAACATTCAATGTTAAATGATTAAAAGTTATCTTTGAACATATATTACTTTGCACTTATTCCATACTAATAAAAAGGGTAAATTATATATGTTTATCTTTTTTAATATAAAATAAATAAATAATAAGTAAAAGGGATTAATAGTTAAGTGGTCATTAGTATAATTTATCTCTTTTAAATATAAAATAAATAAATCAAACGTGATAATATTTTTAACCTCAAATAAAGATATACATGGGTCATTATCACCTACCCAATTGCATGCATGCTACATGCAAAAGCATCACGGCGTTGAAAAATTGCAAGGAAGAGAATAGTTCAATGTGTAAAATGATGATAAGAAAACGTATGGTCAAAATATTGAAACAGCTTGTTCTAGATTGATGGCGATACATTAAACGCGTTTTACCTATGAATTGATATGCCGTAGTGCACGCTTTGAAAACACCCAGAAACTTCAATTTCTAATGTAAACTGTTTCAATTAACATATTAGCTGGGAGTTCGGTTTTTGTTTTATTCCTCTATGCTATATGTTCAAGTTCAACAATTTGTGTGTTTTGTTTTATATGATTCTAGAAACTCACTACGGACAAGATTTTATATCCCACATTTGTACTGCGCAAAATAGTGGAAATGTAATGAACAAAAATAATTAGTGGAAATGCAGGCCCATACACAGCATGTGCTATTTTTCTTATAAGAGATATTTTACTATTTAATATTGAACGTGATATACATAATACTCGAACTCAATACTTCAAAAAATAATAATAATAATGCTTTAACTACTAAACACATGACTATTTAACTTTTTGTAACATGTTAGTAGTTATATCACACATTATCTTTTAATCATATTATATATAACGGGTTTGTGGGGACTTGCTTTTGACTTTGGTGCACTAGGAAAAAGTTAAGAAAAAGAAAAGAATGTGTAGCCACCTTATAATGGCGTCGATATTATGGAATTATGCCACTTGCATTTCTATCTTCCCATCAGATTTATATTTTCTCAGTTTTGTATTTTAGCTGAAAATTAATTATACTTAAAACTCTTGAACACAAAGCAGACTTAGGGGTTATTTGTTTGGCTCTGAATGGAATTATTCAGCGTTCAGCATTCAGCGTGTTTGTTTCTCACCTCTAAATGAATCAGTGCTGATTGATTCAACAAAACAGTGCTGAATGATTCAGCATCAAAGTACATTATGAATCATTCAGAGTCATTATCAAACAACATGTCACATTCAGAGCTAATTCATACAAAATCTCTGAATCATTCAGCATTTGAATCATTTAAACAAACAGCCCCTCCCCTTATATAACTAACCTCCCTTGGAAGAGACAAAAGCTTGCAGTGTCTATTTTATTCAATTGAATACACAAATAAATGTCTGAAATAAATGATTCTGAGCTGGAAGCAAATATGGATTGTCCTTTTAGGTGGCAGACAATGAAAAATGCAGTCGATGAATTATTAGTTCGCACGCAACAAAGTCAAATGGTTTTTTGATTTATTGAGAAATCCATATTATAAAATATCTCATCTCATTTTTTAGATTAATAATAGAATTGATAATTTGATATTTGTATAGGACAAATACAATTAAAGAAATGGAAAAAGACTTGCATTAATATAGAAAACTTTATTACAGTTCTCATGGTACTAAATAACTCTATTAAACTAAATCAATACACATGTACGTATTCGGAAGAATTTTGAAATGGAAAAGAAAAGAAATATATATTCACTTGAAACTAATGAATTAGAAATGTATGGAAAAAATGTAATAGAGGAATTGTTAAAAGTTCTCTTTATGGAATTCGAACTTTGTTGAGGTTTTGTGTGAGAAATCCGATGCTAATTGTCTCAACTCCTTGGTGAGTGCGGGTGCCCCACAGTAGAAAACTCCTGCATCATTTAATACGGCCATGATGATTTAGTTAATCAACAATGGCTGACGGATGAAAAAAAGGGCTGGTGAAAAGGGTGAGAAATACTGACCAATTCTAGCGTCACGATGGTGTAAGGCAATCTTTTTGTAAACTTGACGCCAGTTTGGCTTTGCGAAATGTGATTTGACTCGAGTCCCCGAGACGACGTCGACGCCGTTCTTGGCGTGGTGAAGCGACTGAAGCATGGTTATGAGGGCCGATCGAGCGTCGCCTTCTTCGTAAACGCTGGTGCAATAGTTGTGGAGCTCTATCACCCGTTTCTCATCCATTTCGGCTACTTCGTTCATTATCCCTTTGAACCACTCGAATGAGCCCTGCTCCCTTGTGACCCAGTAAAAGTAGGCTTTCTGTGTTTTGAACCCTTTGCTGTTGCTATTCTTGTTTTTGGGATTGTAATTCCCATTCTCTAAACTTGATCCTGGATATGAACCCTCTTCCATCTGCATGTTGTTGATGATGTCCTTGACAATGCTGATCATTGGGGTGGCTCCGATTCCGAGCCCCACCAGGAGGACGACATCGTACTTCTTGTAGTCCTGTGCCGGTGCTCCGTATGGACCGTCGATCAAAATCTTCGGAAAGCTGTACACCGATTCATACACGTCATTACTCGGTTTAACATTAATCATTCATCTAACTAGCTTGCACCTAATTGAAACCTTCTAAGATGTGAAAATTTTACCTAGTGTTGGCTCCTTCTGCCCTGAGCAGTCCACTCTTTCCAGCAGGTGGAGGCTGACAAACCTCAGAGAAAACAGTTTTGAGCTGCCTTGTCCAATCACCCAGAGTTCGAATATGAACACTGAGGTAGTCGTCTCCGGGTGCTGAAGTTATGGAGAATGGATGCCTGAAATTGCCAATGGTTTGATCAGCTTAAATAATACTCGGATCCATATCCGACATTCACAACTTAGTCCGAGTGACTGAAGAACAAAATGTACTAACCATTCAAATTGGGAGACTGCAGAGCAATTGACAAACATGTATTGCCCACTTTTATATTTGAATCCCTGGGGTTTTGACATGTGCAACGACAATACATTTCCAGGATATACAGCAACCTTCCATAATTAGTAAACAAAGAAGAAAACATGTCAGAATTTGTATCAAAGAAATATGAATGCTCCAACTGCAATATTGGGTGAAATGTATATACTTGAAGCACATGATATACCTTGAGAATTTTAACTGCCTTGATACTTGATCTAAATGCTCGAGTTAACCTTTCGCAGGCGTAAAGAACAACAGGCACTGCTACATACATCCATGTCTGAAATTTAAGGTATCGAAATCGAGTTAGTGAAATCGCACTATGATATTTGTGATGAATGAAGAGATTGAATGAAAATGAAACGGATGACGGTGCTTACTGTTTTTTGATGCCATGTCTTAGTGAGGTAGAGATAATAACCATGAACGATGAGGAGAGCGTAGACGATAACGAAAAGGTGATGGGAATACCAGAAGGCATTAAATCCAGTGAGCTTCTTAAGGAACTTGGGAAGGTTCAGTTTGTTTCGCCTGAACCAAGGAGTAGCTAGTGTGAAGGCAATGGCCATTAGGACCACCATTATAATGCCTGTTACACCTTCCACTCCCCTCACAAACCACCAGTAGCTTGTAGGTTGCTCCTCCCCAAAGTAAGGTTCCATGGGCTCATATTGTTCTTCTGTGGCATGAAGTAGCCGCGGGAAGTCGCAGGTCAAATGTGCACCTCCGTGTAGGATCACCCCAACCGTAATCCCAACCGCAATAACCTGCAGTTATGTTACATTACATTACATTACAAAACTATACTAATGTTGAGTTCTACGAGAGGTTTGATTGTTAATAGTATGGCCTACCTTGTGGAAGTTCAGGTTATCATCGAAAGGAACAACAACGCCTAATTTAGTCTTGTTCCGAAGCCAAGTTATGGTGTTTCGACACACTGGTAATAAAATCAAGGCCATATTGAATTTAAGAGTCTCTGCACCTCCTTTGGCAACGCAAACACAGTATCCCATGACATCGAAAGCGGCCTTGTTCCGATACTGCACGAACTTATACGCAAATAAGCCCCCACAAATTCCAAGCCACAACATCATAACCCAGATCCTTTGCCAGTTATCCAATATGAAGTACTTAGTTCTCTGATACAACCTTTTTAATGGGTTGTTCTCTTGAGTTGGCTTGAGTTTCTGACTCAACATTTGACTTAGAATCCGACTATCCCCGACCCTAACTGATTGATTCGGAGCTTGTAATAAGAGAGTTTCCAGGTTATGAATCTGTTAAGAAAAAGTAAAATTAGGAAATAAAGGCAGAATGGGACAGGAAAAAGATTTGTCTTTGGGGAGTGTCGATTTACCATGATGTATCCAGCATTATCTGGATCAAGTTCTTCCATGATCAAAGCTGCATATTCTTCAGCTTGTTTCTGAATCGTTGAAAGTTTATTTGCAGAAGCACTGAGACTGATAATCTACAGTGTAAAATAATTCATATTGTTAGAATATAATGGAAAAAGATCATAAAATAAATATATTAAAAGTTACGTAAATGTTAAGAAAATGTTGTCATTTTAAGTTAGGTGAATGTCGATTCCTACCTCCCTGACTTCTTCTTCAGTGATTCTTCCATCAGCATCTTTGTCAACCCTGCATGATTAGAGCTTAAACTTAGTAAATAAACCAGATTTTTCTTTCAGTTCATCAGATTTTGAGGGAGAAAAACTTACATGTCAAAGAAAGTTTGAAGTCTAGAGTCAAAGCTTTCATCAGACATCTGATCCCAAAACTGTTTGAGTTGGACTTTATTGACTGAGTCACCGGTTACATTATGTCTCCGAGCAAGCGCTTGAAACAGCTCAATGGCGAATTCTTTAGACTGGTTCATTCCTGTAGTTGAATTTGAAAAAGATGAAATTTTGTTTTCTTTTTGCCAAAAAGTTACTCATTTTTTTGTTCTTTCGATCATAAAGTACGTACCGATGCATTCGGCGAATTGGGATTGGTGAAGAATGCCATTTGTAGAGGCGGTCAAGTTATTGAATCGATTCTCGACGGCAGACCATCCATTGCCGGAGGCCCCTGTTTTGGTGGTGATAAACTTGAGCCCTTTCAAGGCATGAACTGCCGCCGATTTGGTCCTATCGAATCTCCGGCCGGCGTTAGATGGTCTTCTCGAAAGGACTTGTTTCAGTTCCTGAGAAACTTGTTTAATTTGATTCGACGTGTTCCTCAACAAATATGAACGGAATGAAGCCGACTTGTTTTCCAGTGTTTTCTTAGCTAACAAAGCCAACTCTGGGTCTTCGCTTCCACCACCGGCGCCTTGAACACTGTGAACCGCCACGGAATCGTCTCGGATATCGAGGGTGATTTCGACGTAACCGTCGTCATTGTCAGTTGCGTCGGCGAAACCAGCAGCGCTGGCCCCTGAGTTAGTCTTGGCCATGGCGATTTCCGGTTGAAGGTTGAATCTTGCACTCTTTTTCGAAGCTCTTTTTTTAGATACAGCGCCGCCGCCTAAAACCAAAGGTCCACTAAACGCCGCCCTGTCACTTGCTATGCTTTCCGTGTCGGAATTGTTCTCTGAAAAAGCTCCTCTCCCATCATCGCTCCTCATTTTCCCCCTTGTTATTCTTCGTTACAATTTGGACAACAACTTTGGCTTTGTAAAATAAGGATTGAAAACTGGTTCCTTAAATGTGAATTAACTAATGAAAAATTGGAACAAAAAGTTTGTCTGTAAGAAAGCGATGAAGGAAGATTTATCTAAAGGTTTTCAGACAACCATTTCATCTCTTCAATGTTTTTGGTTTTAAATTGCAAGGAATCGAGCTTCCTTGTATTTATATTTATAGCTAACAGTAGTAAGGGAAATGAGAAACTTACAGGAAGCAAGCTTTCATGGCGTCGGTCAAAACAGACGATCAAAGACAACTCATATTTATTTATTGGGTACAATCGTAAATAGTCCCTCAATTATATGCCATTTTTTACATCCCGACTCTGAACAATTAGAAAATTGTCATCTAAGTTTAAAAAATAATAAATTAATTATTTTTCATTAAAAATTTACAATAAATTATGTGATAGTTAATAAATATGACATGTTAATGAATTTAATATTTAATTTTTTATTATATTTTAATTTGATATTAATTTAAAAAATTAAACCTTAGTATTTATACTTTATTTCAATTTAATTATTATTATAACATTTTTCTTATTTATTAATTTTATCAACTTTGTACCATTGAACCATCACACCAAAATATGATATTATCGTCGATGTCATAGTAACTTCTGTTGCTTTACTATGAGAGTCTTTTACCTCGTGACTAATTTTTGGCTCCCCCGGCCATATAGGGTAGTAGGAAAATGTTGAACGTTGTTAAAGAGCTGAAGCAGTAGGGAGGATATTGAGCATATTCTGGAAGGTGTCAGCTCAGCACGGTTGTTATCCAGCTCAGTGTAGTTAGTTAGGAGACTAACAACCTCAGTTAGTTTGTTATAACGTGTGTGTTGTTGTATAAATAACCAGAGCTATGTAATCATCAAATAACTATGAAAACCTCATTTAGTTTTGCAAGGAAAGTCACATTTTGAGGTACTGCATAATAAGTTAACTGACTATGAATTCTTGAAAGTGTTCGGTTGCAGGTGTTTTCCTCATCTTCGACCTTATCAAAATCACAAACTAAGCCATCGCTCGCAACTGTGCACGTTTCTTGGATATAGCTCACAGCACAAGGGATACCAATGCATGGCTTCTGATGGGAGAATCTACATATCAAGGCATGTCGTTTTTGATGAACAGTGATTTCCTTTTACAAGTAAACAAGACGTTTGTGTTCAAAGTAGTGGACAAAATGTCATAAAATGGCCCATGCATCTACCTGTGATTGATGGCGCTGGAAGGGTATGTGTGCAGCTGGGTGTGCCACACGAAAACCAATAGGGATCAGCCACCTTGTGAATGAATTCTGTCACAGGGTCTCAAAATGAGGAACAACAAGTGTCCAGCGCCAGTTCCCCTCCGAGCTCAGCTAGGGGAAGCGTAAAGCACTCGAATGCGAGTGAAGAAAGCACTCAACATCAACTGCCTAATGATGATCTGACTCAAAGTGAGCCACAAGAGATGTAGAACGGTTGTAATGAAGTGCAGTCAGTGGTTGCTCCTGTCACTGGACATTCGATGATGACCAGAAGCAAATGTGGCATTTTTAAGCCAAAACTCTACTCCATGGTTCATACAGAAACTGAGAAAGAACCATGCTCAATATATGAGGCATTGCAGTCTCCTCAATGAAAGGCAACAATCCATGCAGAATATGAAGCACTGGAACGAAATAACACGTGGTCACTGGCCACTATACCTGAAGGGAGATTAGTAGTGGGTTGCAAGTGGATTTTTTGAATAAAAAGGAATGTTGATGAATCTGTGCAGAGGTATAAGGCCAGACTTGTGGGCAAGGGTTTTACTCAAGTTCCTGGGCAAGATTTTCAAGAGACCTTCAGCCCAGTTGTCAAGTCTTCCACCATTAATGTCATACTAACACTTGCAGTTCAAAACAAGTGGTAACTGAGGCAAGTGGATGTAAATAATGCCTTTTTAAATGGAGATCTTCATGAGGATGTATTCATGCAACAACCTCAGGGCTTTAAGAAGAAAGTATCAAATGGCTCTCGGCTGGTGTGCAAATTACATAAAACGTTGTATGGACTTAGACAAGCCCCGAGAAACTGGTTTGCTAAGTTGAGAAGTTATGTGCTTAGCATTGGATTCAAAAGTACACAGGCTGATAGTTCACTTTTTTATCAAGCAAGAAAGTGGGAGAGTGTTGTATATCTTGGTTTATGTTGATGATATTATCATCACAGGCTGCTCGAACGATGAGATTGAAAAAGTGGTTGAACTGTTAAACAAAAAATTCTTTCTAAAAGACCTTGGCAAATTGAGTTATTTCCTTGGTATTGAAGTTAAGCATGCAGGAGGTTATGTCTTTCTAAGTCAGAAGAAATACATAATGGAGTTGTTAACCAAGACAAGTATGGAAAGTGTTGCCTCAACACCTACACCCATGATATATTCTCTTAAGCTCTTCAAAGAGTCGGGTGATGACCTGAATGATGCAAAAGAATATCGAAGCCTAGTGGGATCTCTCTTTTATGATTGTCATACAAGGCCAGATATTGAGTTTAGTGTAAACAAGTTGGCTCAATTTATGCATACACCCCGAGAACAACGTTTTGCTGCAGTAAAACGGGTCATGCATTATCTTCGAGGGACGCTTGACTATGGACTGGTCTTTTCTCCGAGTGATGAGTCGGTTCAACTAACATCATTTGCAGATGCTGATTAGGGGGTAGTATAGATGACAAGCGCTCAATATCAGGGTGTTGTGTGTACCTAGGAGGCAATTTGGTTATGTGGAGTTCAAGGAAACAGAAGACTGTGTCCAGGTCTACTACTGAGGCTGAGTATCAGAGTTTGGCAGATGCAACATCCGATGTAACTTGGTTGGATGCGTTAATAGCAGACATGGGAGTTCAAATGCGCACTTCACCAGTCATTTGGTGTGATAATTCAAGTGCAACTGCAATGAGTGAAAATCTTGTATATATCATTCGAAAACTAAGCACGTTGAGCTTGATGTTCATTTTGTTAAGGAGAAAGTAGCAGCAGGGAAGTTGAAGATCAATGATGTACCTACGGAACATCAGGTGGTTGATGGATTAACTAAAGCGTTGACAAAGGATAGTTTTGCTGCATTTCGACAAAAGCTATGAGTATGGTCATTTGAAGAGCTAAACCAGCAGGGAGGATGTTGAACGTTGTTAAAGAGCTGAAGCAATAGGGAGGATATTGAGCATATTCTGGAAGATGCCAGCTCAGCACAGTTGTTATCCAGCTCAGCGTAGTTAGTTAGGAGACTAACAACCTCAGTTAGTTTGTTATAACGTGTGTGTTGTATAAATAACCAAAGCTATGTAATCATCAAATAACAATGAAAATCACCATTCTTGATATTCGTCTATAATGCTTTCTCAACAGAAAAATATGGGTAAAATTAGTTCAATAATACATACAGAATAATTAATTAGTAAAATATGACACCTTCAGATTTATTTTGAGATTTAGGTCATTTATTACAGTGTCCGTAGAACTCGTTAAACTCATGTGACGAGTTTTATAAAATATATTAAAAAAATTAAACTTGTCATATTATATGAGATAAAATTGTATGAAACTTTTCACGCCCCTGTGACGAGTTTTAAATATATTTTATGAAACTCGTCACTCACACGTGACGAGTTTCATGTGCACTGTAGCAAATGACCTATATCCTAAAATAATTCTCAATCACCCTTATTTTTCAGAAAAAAAATTATCTAGTTTTGCCAAAAAAATATGTCCCGATATAAAATATTCACCATATTATTTCCTGAATTAGGGTCATTGTTATAATGTCACTAAAATGAACTACTAACATAAAAAAATTTCCAATTTCAAGATAGATATGTGTCTACCTCCGCCAACGACCGAAACAATGACACCAAAAAAGCAAGCAAAGACAGTAACAAATTCCCAATAAAATGGAAAAACTCATAATCATATTCACCCTCGGATGCCAACAAAATTAAGGGTTAAGTTTGTTAAAATATCAATTTTATTAATTGACACATTATTTTAAAATTAAATAATTATTTTATAACTTATAATTAAATACGTAAAAAATAAATGTTTTATAATTAAGAAATTATTTATATATTTTACTCTTATTTATTTTAATTTTCCCGTAAGTTGTTTAATACTTTAGTTAGTCGAAGTATTTTTTTAGGTAATTATTAGAGAAAATCCATTTTTTATTCTTCGAGATTGATCTTGAAATGTAATATGAATCAGGACTAATATAATATTTGTTACATGTACATAACAAAATTAGTTAAAAGTTCGTCTGTTTATTGGCTCAATTAGTTGTAATAAGTGAAAATCTCACCGTATTAAAGCACGTTCGTGTCTTTCTTATGTAGAAGTTAGGTGAATCAATGAAATATTAGTTGAAACTATGTTAAAGTTAGTTGAATATATGAAATATTACTGTCCGAAAATGACTGAAGATTATTTCTAATAATGGGAAATATTAGAAACCAAACCTCGATTTTTAAGGCATGTTTATTAGGGGCGTTAAAAGTTTGGTTTTAACATATCTAACCAAAATTTTTTCAGTTAATCGGTCGGTTAAAGGTTAAGATTTTTTTTTCAAACTTTGATTATCGCTTCATTAATCAAATTAACTGAAATTACTAAATATTTAATATATTATATATATTATTTAGAGTGTTTAAACTTTGATTTTAATTGAATTAATCGATCGGATTAATTGAATTAGTAAAAAATATTAAATAGTTTATCTATAACATATATAATTTATAAAATTTGGTTAATCGACCGATCAATAGAACTTTATTCGAATCAATTAAAAACTTTCAAAAAAAATCATTTCGATTAATGGTTGAAAGAAAAAAAAAGAAGTTAATAAATTTTTAGAAGTTCGGTTCAGTCGGTTAACCGAATTAACTGTTTGAACACACCTAGTGTTTATTATCTAACAAATGATTTTTCGTATGAAAATAATAAATAATCAAAAGATGAATGTCAATACATATAAATGAATGAGTTTAACAAATTATTGAATAAGTCTGGAAATATTTTTGAACTTAAAGAAATTCAAATGTGTATAAGAAAACTTAAGTATACAGTAGATTTGTGTAAAAAAATCAGTTATAAGTTT